CATAATTCTTTTTTAAAAACAACTATATGTTTTCTATGCATTAATTTATTTATTTTATTTTATGAATAAAATATTATATTAAGATATAATAGCAAAGACTGAATAGACTGAATAGGCTGAATTTATGAGATATTTTATATTTTATGTTGAAATGTGCAAGAGTAAAGTGTACAGTTATTAATTTTTTGACAATTTTATCTTAATACTTTTATATTCGGAGAATATTCGGAGAAATCATGTATTGATCTTTTTCGAAAATTAATTTTACCATTATTTGTCTCTCTTCAAAATGTATATCTTTTATTTTGGTTTTTCCGTTTTTTTTTCCAATAATTTTCGAAAAATCTTAATCATTTAAAATAAGATATTCTGTACATACATCATAACATTATTTTAAAAAATACAATAAAATGATTATTAATCAAGGTATCCGCATATTATTTAAAGTAACTGGCATATCATTCAATACTAATATCAGATTTCCATAATTTTTCACGAAAATCACGAAGTTAGTAACTTGTAGTTATTTGTTCTAATAGAATAGCAAACCATGATTCTAATAATAATGAATAGTAAATGCCTACAGTTCCAATAGTAAACTATTATACTTATAATTCTAATAGTAATGATAGTAAATGCTTATAATAACTATTCATCCAATAGTAAACTATTCATGTTTCCATTAGTAATGTCCCATAATACTATACAAAATTTCAATAGTTTTCTACATAGGTCTGAATAGTTATATTTCTCAATAGTTCTCAATAATTCTTTTCCATATAGAGATATCTATTTTCTTCTATTCTTTCTATCTATTCTTCTTATTTTCTCCTTTTTCTATCTTTTCTTTCTATTTATTCTTTCTTTCTATTCTTTATATCTCTTCTGTCCTATCTATATTCTTTAGAAATATTGTTTTTTTTAATATTATTAATTTTTACAAACATTTTCGAAACATTTTTTTTTATATTATTACATGTCGAATTATTTATTCAACATGTTATGCTATAAAAAGAAACATGTACGTACAAAAATTATTACAATATTAAACGAAATAAATGTTTCATATTTTTTTGACGGAAGAGACCATCACCTTCTCGCGGGTTCTCCGGGAGAACCCCGATACCCGGCGGAGAAATCTCGGAAACGGCGGAGTCGGGTCGAGCGAACTCGACGCGCTGGGGAGACCCCAGCAACTCTCGGCTTGCCGTGCGAGATACGGAGACGGCTTTTGGCCAGGCCAAGCGAACTTGGCGCGTTGGGGAGGGCCCCAACAAAACTCAAGCTTGCTACCGGTTTCGGATGCTCGCTTCCTTGAGGCGGGCTCTCGGAAAACGAGCTAGGAACAGGAGTCAACGAGGAGTGATTTCCTGTGGAGAGCGATGTCTTTTTATACCCGAGATCGACCTCGGTATTTTCGGTCGGATCGGTCGGATTGGTCGATCTCGGGGTTAGCATCCCTCTCCTCAGGAGCGGAAAAAAGGATCGGGTATAATTATTTTTGAGGATTAGATGGAATAGGAGCGGGAGATAGTTAAAGGTAGGAAAGGAATTCGGTGGGAAGGTAACGGCGCGGTGCGGGGGGTGGTCACGCGCTTGTGGACGCGGTCGTGGCGCGGTGCGGGATGCTCGCTCGCTTGCGTGACGCGGCGTCGGTGCGGCGCGGGACGCATTCACGCTCGGTGGTACGGTGCGTGGCGCGGTGCGGAGTGTGTTAGCGCTCGGTGGCGCGACGCGTGGCGCGGTGCGAGGAAATACCACGAAAACATACATGTTTTCGTGGTATTCTCCGACGCTTCGCGTATTATGATACTTTAAAAAGGAGGCATTACTGCCTCTTGCGGCCACTGCCGCACTCCGCCGTTGTTCGGCGGTCCCCGATGGATGGTCGGTCGGGGGAAAATCGGAGCAGGAACAGAGCAGAGGGATGCGCTCCGTTATACTTTGATAATTTATTGTAATATATTTTGATAATTTATTGTAATATATTTTGATATGAAATATAAAATAATTAAAGTATTTACATTGTGATAATCGTATTAATATTTTTATATTAATACGACACAGACTAAGAATAAATAAATTATAAAGACATAATTGTTTCAAAAAAATTTATGTAATTTGCAACGTGTAAGTGC